GAGTGAATTAAAAACATTCGTTTGTGTTCTACTGAAGAAACAAAGTCACCTACAGGTGCATCTCAATAAATTAGAATGTCATGGAAAAGTTCATTTATTTCAGTAATTCAACTCAAATTGTGAAACTCGTGTATTAAATATACACACACAGACACACAGACAGAAGTAGTTTAAGTCTTTGGTTCTTTTCCACGACATTCTAATTTATTGAGATGCACCTGTACATCTTGGCAGATAAACATCACATCACATCACATGGGTGAACTATCCCTTTAATAATAATCTAACATACAACGTTAGTTAGTCATTGTCCCTAAACTAGTTTTGATATAAGAAAGGATTTAGCGTGTCAGTTAAAACATACATACAGATTGAAGGTCTCCCTCCCTAAGGTGTATCGCAGGGAAGGGCTGCTATTTTATACGCACCTGGACAAACCAGTTCTCTGTGCCCACTGATTGGCTCAATCATGCCATTCTGTCCTGCTCGTCCAGTTTTAGCTATACTGTTATTCTGTTATTTCCCATCCCACAGTTGTGTCCAGATCATTCTGAGTTGTACACACAGCTGGACTGTACAGGACAATATGCTGGCTGTTCTCTTCATTCTTGGGACGTTGTATCCCCTAAACTTCGCAGGTAAAAACATTTTTATAGCTTCAAATTACTAAAACTACTTTTTGTGTAAGGAGTTTACTTTATTCTAAGGTTTTAATTATTATTATTATTATTTTTAATTTTTTTAGAAATACCAATTAGACTGCTGGATACTAAAAACGATGGTGTGTTGTCGGGTGTATTCCCAAACGCTTTTCTGCTGAGTCTGCCTAACTGCTCTGTTTACGGAAACATGAGCGCTACACTGCTGTACACAGAAGTGCCCTCCAATGAAAGCAGTATGCATCACTTTCATCCTCAATGTGGCTCACATGACATTAATGTTTACATGGCATTGTTTAAATATTAAGCATTATGACTTATGTGTCCTGCAGAAACACAGACTTTCCCCGTTCCATCTTGTAAGGTCAGTCAGCTGGGGTTCTTTCTGCAAAACCTCAAAAATGGAACAACATACATGTAAGTGTGTGCTTGTGTGGCGTGTACGGGTTTGTCTCATATATCAGCTTTTGATTTAAATCAAATAATGTCAGCAGGTTTCGATGAGGTTTTTATGGATATGGTGTAGCTGTACACTGTAGTAATTACCATTATATTATTACGGAAACCCTTTAATCCATGGGAGTTCGTCACTATAATGTCTAAGGTCTCTCAGTGTGTGTAACCATCTCTCAACAAATCAAATCTCATTAACAACAATCTTAATTGTCTTTCTCTTTCAGCATGCAGTACCAAATTGCAAATGAAACAAGCTCAAACTTGACTATGAACACTAACAACGGTAACAGTACTATATATCCAGAAAAAAATATACAGTCATTTTAAATGAGCATCTTGTAATATATGATGTAGGCCTATATGTTATATAATTGTAATATATCTTGTTTTTCTTCCTAGTCTTTGATTACCAGCAGATAGACAGTGGTCTTGAAGCACGCAGTGGAGCTATGGTGGTCATCACCGTCATTCTGTCTTTGGGTATGGTGATCCTCCTCGTGAGCCTTATTATTAGCATCTTCTTTTCCAGCTAGGCTGAACATGATGCACTTCAACACTATACATGATGTCACTATATACACTATACAAAAATAATACAGGCACATTTCAGATATTTTTAGAGATTGCTTTCTTTTCACTTTGTCTATACAAAACAGTGTACCTATAATGTAACAGGGAATTACACAAATGTATATATTTATCAGTTATTTCAAACTGAATTTCACAAAAATGTAATGGTGTACTGCATTTCAAATAAATCCTGTAACATAAATAAATTTTATGATTTTTTTTAAAACACATAAATACGTTTCTTTACCCTAACTGGCAAGTATAGATTTTAACTAAAAGGGCTGAAGTGTGTGTGTGTGTGTGTGTGTGTGTTTTAAACAAATGTCTGGTTTGGACAAGTTGTCACATGTTTTAATAGTTTTTGTGTTTCAATACAGATAATTAACCACAACTTCTTTTGTAGACAAACAAAAGTTTATCTTTTTTTATCATTTGTTTATTATATATATATTTTTTCTTTATTTGGTATTTTAGATAGCCTAGTATTTGCTATCTCAAATAAAGGTAGGCTATTTTTCAAAAATTTGTGTCATTAAACAGAAGATATATGGGACATTTTGTCACAAAAAGTGAACATGCATTTAATTTTTTTAACACATAAATAAGTTTCTTTACCATAACTGCAAGTATAGAATTTAAAGGCTGAAATGTGTGTTTTTTTTGTTTGTTTGTTTTTTACAAATGTCAGGTTTGGACAAGTTGTCACACGTTTTTAATAGTTTTTGTTTCAATGCAGATAATTAATTTCTGTTTTTTCCCCCCCATTTTAGACAGCATTTGATATCTAAAATAAAGGTAGGCTATTTTACTTTTTTTTTGTTTTTTCCCGGAAATGTTAAACAGCATTTTGTAGTCAAAATGTCTGCATATGGACAAACTGACTAGAACGCAATAATAATACTCACAATTAGCGTGATAATGAACCCTAGTGGTCAATGGAAACCTGTTAAACCTTTGATTGCTAATAATGGAGCTTAATGATTTCCACCTGTTTTACTGAACGATATCGCCACAGTTTGTCTTTACTGACACCACATTTCTTCGAATAAAAGAGATACTGGGTTTTATTTACAAACGTTTGCTAGTTGTTCCTACATAGTCGACGACATGTATTTACATCTTCAATCCAAAAGCAGATTTCTCGACCTTCACTTGACCAGCGGTTTACATGACTGGGACATGAATGAGGAAATAAAGTTAACGACGACGACTGATCAGTTTTACCACGGTAAAATAATTGTGTTTCAGTGAGTAATTTACTCAAGTATGCGAAATAGAGGCGTTTTTCAGTGTGGATGATGTGTGGTGGTTTGGCAGATGATAAGCGGTCTGACCAGTATCTGGCTCAGTGGCACTTCGCGAGGATCTCCAGACGATCATTACCAGCAGCAGAGCACGGGAGCTACCAGCTGCCCCTCAGCAGCAGAGGTGTGTTCATCAAGCATAGCCTGCTCATGACAGCACACTAATCAACAAAATACATCAAACACAAAACTCCTTATCAAAGGTTTTCACTATTTTCAATGCCAGAGAGACCCCATGAAAATGTTCTGTAACTTACACAAATGTATAATTTTGTTGTTGTTGTTTATGAATGACTGTATTTATTTGAAACCATAAACACTGCAATATTGCGAAGACAAATTATTTTACAAAATAATTATTACAAAAACAAAATAATTTTTGTATTTGGAACAATTATAATAAATATTATATATTTCCCAATACAAAATAATTTATGAAAATATTATCTGGAAAATATTTGCTTTGTATAACAGTTGACAGTTATTGTTTTCTGCCTAGTAGTAATAGTAGTAGTATCTCTATTGAGGATCCCTGTCTTAAAACACAAAGTTCCCAGTAATGTTCGTATTACCAAAAAGAAGAAAATCTTTTTTTTTTTTTTAAGATTTACGTGATTTAATTAATAGTAAAATTCCATCAAATTGAATTGAATAATCCTAACATTTTATTTGAATAATTAAAGATTGTTTAATTGAGTGCCATTGTTTAATGGAGTGCCCCCCCCCCCTCACTGTGCGCTTCAAACTTAATTGTTTCTGTCTTTTAAAGAGCCTGAAATACAACCTAATCTGTGGCTGATGGTGAATCCCAGTTTAGCCTGCCCCATAAAGTACCCTAGTAATTACCCCAAAGCCCCAACACCCCCAAAACCGACACCGAAGTCAGCACTGCCAAGGACCACCACACCTGTTCTGGAACACCATCTGCACCCAGCGATACTGCCTGATGAGACCTGCCTGAATGAGTCAACGCACGATACCTCCCTCTCCAGCGAGTATCAGGTATGAGTAAAGCTGCATTGCGTACTTTGCTTGTTTGCCACCTTGATATTAAGGCACCATGAATAAACTGGGTGAAAGATTTATAGATATCTGATGTAGTTGACCCATCTCCACCTTGTCCCAGGTCACAGACGAAGATGACGCTTCTTCTGTAGATGTGCCTGTTTGTCGTAAGGTAAAGGGTGTGCGGAAGGGGGGGACCCCCAAAGCGTCTACTCGCAAACTGGGTCTGACGCAGAATAGAAGGCTTCAGAGAGCCCTGCAGGACAGTATGAACCTGAAGAACGGCGGATGGCCTCGGCCTCCTGTTAACTACTGCATCCTCATCGCAATGGCACTCAGCAGCAGCCGTAATGGCAGTCTTAACGTACAGCAGATCTATAACTTCACCAGGTCTCTTTTATATACTTAACCATGTGAACAAACACTGACGGTACATTCTTAAATTCAGTCTAAAAATAAAGCTGATTTTGCAATGATGCCGTTGAATAACAATCATTTTTGGCTCCACAAAGAACCTTTCACTCTTTAAAATAAAGGTGCTTAAAAGGTTGTTCACAGCGATGCCATAGAACAACCATTTTTGGTTCCACAAAGAACCATTCAGTCAAAGGTTCTTTAAAGAACCATCTCTTGGTTCTTGGTTCCCTTTTGTGAAACCGAAAGGTTCTTCAGATGTTAAAGGTTCTTTATGGAACCATTTAGACAAAAAAAGGTTCTTCTATGGCATCGTGAAGCACCTTTGTTTTTAAGAGCGTTTAGTGAAAAGTTCTTTTAAAAAAGGTTCTTTTAAGAACATTTTCCACAAAGAACCTTTTGTAGAATGCAAAGATTCCATGGATGTTAAAGGTTCCTCATGGACTAAAGATGCCCATAAAGAACCTTTACTATTGAGTGAATTACTTTGTTTGTTTTTTTTTCCCCTCATCATGGCGTCACTCGCCGTCTCTCTAACACGCACACAAATCCCAAATTATGAAAGATTTGTTTTTCATCATTCCATTTTCTTTCTTTCTTTCTAGAGAGCACTTCCCCTTTTTCCTTACAGCTCCAGATGGGTGGAAAAACACAATCCGCCATAATCTGTGTTTCAGCAACAGTTTTAAAAAGACCCCGCAGCAGGTGTCTGGAGACGGCAAGAGGAAGTCGTGTCTGTGGCATCTCACTCTGGATGGCCGACAGAGACTGAGAGATGAAATTAACATGCTTACGGGAGATTCCTTCAGAATGCTGAAGAGGAGCATGAACTATCCAGGTCAGGACTTGGAGCCGAGTGAGTGGTGAGGTAAACGGCAAAATCAATTGGAACTGATTTAACTCGCAGTTGTGTCCGTGTTACAGATATGATTCAAGCACTGTTAGAGCTGTGATCCAACTTTGACCCCTGTGACATCATCAGGCTGGACAACTGGACCTGCTGTGATTTGATTTCTTTATGAACTTGTGAATGTTAGCACTTTTTGTTATTATTGTGTAACTTTTCTTTTTGTGTCTGTCATTTTGTTTTTGATTTTCTTCAATGACACATTGTGCCTTATAAAATAAACAAATGCATTTATGGACTTTTGTGGTTTCTTTCAAGCGGCCGCTATTTCCTTAAAGCTGCTGGAAAAAAGAAATGCCTAAAAGTCTTAAACAACTAAGTTAACTATATATACATCAATCAATCATATTATACAAGTATGTCAGGTTTAGAATTTATTTTATTTTTTAAAGAAGTCTCCGCTCACCAAGGCTTTGTTTATTTGATTTAAAAAAAAAGTATGTATCAATCAAATTATTTATGATTTATAACACTTTTCCAAACAAACCGATACAGTTCAAAGAGCTTTACAGGCAATATTATTTGGTTACAAACCGTAATATTGTGAAATTATTACAATTTAAAATAAGTAAAGGTTTTAAAACCATATAACGATTTTCTATTTTAAAATGTAATTTATTCCTGTGTCAACAAAGCTGAATTTTTAGCATAATTACTCCAGACTTCAGTGTCACATGAACCTTCAGAAGTCATTCTAATGTGCTGATTTGGTGCTTAATTATTATCTGTCATTATTGGTGCTTTGTTAATAAAGATTCTTACTATCAATGTTAAAAATTATTTTTTGCTGCTTAATATTTTTGTGTAAACCATATATGAACTATTTCAGGATTGTTGGATAAATGGATTCATATATTGGATGAACAAAAGTTCAAACGAACATAATTTAATTGTCCTTGCTGAACAAAAGTATTAAGTATTTTTTTTATATATTACCCCAAACTTGATCAAAATTTATAAGAAATTATTCTTGAGCAACAAATCAGATGTCTGAGATTTCTCTCAATTCATATTGCTTTATTGGCATGACATATACATATTACATATTGCCAAAGCATTGTACATAGCAGAATAAAAACGAACAACACAAAAATACATCCATATATATATATATA